GCGAGTCTCCCCCAGACTTCTCCGATGTCAGTCCCTGGTCCCACCACTTCCGTCAAGGACGAATGAGAGCGGGCTGGTACCGTCGCCCACCCTCCCCCTGTCCTGCAGTCCCCCTGCCCCGTCCCTTACCTGGCTCAGAGCGCAGCCGGGGCCAGAGGAAGGTTCTGGAAGAAGTTCCTCCCACCCCCTGCGGCTCTCTGCCCCCAGCTCGGGGGCCCTGCCAGCGACTCTTGCCGCCCCCCCGCCCGACGGCGCTTCTCTGAGCTACCGCGGCCCCGGGACCGGCATTAAGTAGCCGCTCCAAAGGCTTCTCCCGCTGCCATGGCGACGCTCCGCCCCCATAAACAGCTTCCGCCGCTGCTATTGGTCAGTACGTCTCCAAGGAGACCGCGGGCACTTGCCACTCTCTCCGGCGGCAACTCTCTTCGAACTCCCTCCTTCTGCCGCCCTCTCCCGCGCCACCCAACCCCCTACCCGCCGCTACGTCCCTGCTCGGCTCATTCCCGCCCGAGGGCCCCGCGCTGGGGTCGGAAAAGCGCGCGGCCCGCGGCACCGGGAACCGCTATGGATCCGTTCGTCCTGGGGAACTACGACTCTCGCCCCCACCCCCTTTCTGTCCCGGTCGCTCTGAGGCGTCGACTGCTCCTGGGACGGAGCCTGCGGTTGGGGGTCTAAGGCTGGGAGCGGACTCAGGCTCGGGAACCGTATCCTTGAGATTTTCTTTCCTTTCCGCTACGAGTGGCGCTTTCTCAAGTTTCCGCAGCCTTTCCCTCTCCCCTGACTCTTAGGGTCTTTCTCTGGTGCCCCAGGCAGGTCTGACTTTCCGATGCCATCTGCCGCTTACATCCACAGAGGCGGCAGACACACCCAGGAGGCAGGGTAATCCAGTGTGTCCCAGTAAGCAGCTCTTTCCCCACCCGTATCCTCGAGGTTCCAGGAAGCTGACATTCCAGAGGCTTCCGCAGAAGCGCACTCACTCCTTTTGGAGACAGCTGATGAAGCAGAGCCCGTGGGTAAAACTCTGCAGTCACGGACTTGTCAAATTCTCCTAGCGGGGTCATTTGCCCAATTAATTTCACCAACCTTTAAGTGACAGGGATTAAGAGTACAGGGACTCTGGGGACTGTGGCCCTTCCTCCTCCCTTCCCCTGGCCTCCCTCCTGTCACCAGCTTTCCTGCTCTTTAATTATTGAGGAGCTGCAGGGTTGGACGTTCTCCGGTTTAAGGCGGCTGCAGAGGCAGTGGTGGGGGCTGGGTTGCTTACCTAGCCTCTGCCCAGGAGCTGGAGAGCTGGGGTCGGGAAGCCTGGTGCTCAAGCCATGAAGAAAGCCCCGCAATGGCCCATCACTCCCCCGCCAACGTGCCTTTCCCTAGCCCTTGCCTCTCCCACTCCTCCAACTCCAGATCCTCTTGAGTAAAAACATTAAAGAGTGCTGGAGAAAGACAAACTTTCACAGATAAGCTCACTTTGCAGTTAGCTCTCCTTCCCTTGTAAACAGTTTTATTCATTTTTAAGAATCATGCAGCAATCCATAAATATTGCATTCTTGATGTCCCCACTGTAGTGTGCCCACAAGCGTACTCCAGGGAGAGGGGTACACAGATGGCACAAGCAGTGTATACACATGCACACACCAGGTGTGCAGACCAAAGCAAAGTGAGTGACCAGCGTGCCAACTCCAGGTGGGCAGGATCCTAACTCTCCAGGTGAGACAGCTTAGAGTGTGGGGGGGTCTATGCCTAGGAGATGCCTCAGCGGGGGTAGAAACTCTGGTGGGATGAAACTGGGCAGAAGGAAAAAAGGGCTCTGTGAGGAAGCCGGGATCACACTACCTGAAGGCAATAAAGAGAGTACAGGCCTAGTGCAGCAGAAAGGAGCCCTGGGTCTCCATAGTTACGCTGTGCCCTGTGGGAGAAGCCAGGCCCACCTCTTCTCTTTGGGTGAACTGTTGACGTGACTATGTGACTGTCTCCAGATGAAGGACTGGGGCAAAAGAGTTGGCCACTGACCTGTCCTCATCAGGCTGACTGAGGACCAACTCCTTGGATGAAGTATTTCTGTGGGCCACAGAGCTAAATGACAGCCAAGAGAAGGCAGGGGGACAAAGGAAGAGGAGAAATACTGAGAAACAAGTAAAGGACATTTCTAACCTAGGTATGCCTTGGACATGGGGGCTGAGGCCTTGAGGAATCTTTCTGTGCTTCTCCCTAGGAGAGGACTGAGCACCTGCTGAGGAAGGACACGGATCCTCCAGGAAGGGGGTCCTGGCCACTGCGGTTACTGTTTACCTCAATCTCCTTCATCTCAGCTCCTTCCTCCCTCCTCCCAGGTAACACCACACTGTGAATACTACCTGCAGGGGACAGGACAGGAGGTGGTCTGTGTGCCACCACCCCAGGGTAAGGGAAGCTCCCTGTCACCTGCTGCTTCTGGGCTCATATTTCAGGGAAATCAGGAAGTGGGGTTATTGCTCAGCTTATGCATCTTAACTATGAAAGGGGCGGGAAGAATGTAGGGGGAAGGAAAGGACATTAGGTGGGGCCTGAAATGGTAAAGTCTACTGCAGTATTTCAGAGAGGGTGGAGGACGCGCTCCACTCCATCAGGGCAGGATGTAAGCCACAATCACTAGGCAGTGAGACTGTCACTGCACTCCTGGCCTCTGCAGCCACACAGGAGCAAAGGACCCCCTGGGCGCCAGGCTCTTTTTGAGGCTATCTGCCTTGGAAACACCTTGACATTTTTTTTTTTTTAAGACAGTTTCGATCTTTTTGATCTTGTTACCCAGGCTGGAGTGTAGTGGCGCGATCTCGGCTCACCGCAACCTCCGCCTCCTGAGTTCAAACGATTCTCCTTCCTCAGCCTCCCAAGTATTTGGGATTACGAGGCATGCGCCACCACGCCTGGCTAATTTTGTATTTTTAGTAGAGAAGGGGTCTCTCCACGTTGTTCAGGCTGGTCTCAAACTCCTGACCTGAGGTGATCCGCCCGCCTTGGCCTCCCAAAGTGCTGGGATTACAGGCATGAACCACCATGCCTCGCCAAAAAGCTCTTTTAGGGCAGCAATTCCAAACCCTAAGACAAGTCCACCACAATGGGCATAGCCTATAAGGCTCTCCCACATCTCAGTCTCACAAATAATAGTTGTTTCTAGCTTTGCTTTCCAAATAATCTCATGCCCTACTAAACCACCACCTTTTCCAAAGGCCAGTAGACAACACATGGAAGAGCCACAGGGAATCCACTGATGACACGCACGCTGAGGAAGGCAGAGCAGCCACCACCTCACAGTCCAGCTGTGCTGTTTCAGCTCTTGTATTTGTGACCTCACACTGGACTGGGGCGGGGAGTGCACACGAACAGAACACTATTTCTGAACTGCCAGTCAGCATGTGACTGGCTCCGTCTCCCTCTTCAGTGATTAGGCTCAGTAGCTCTGGAAGGCAAGGGAGGAACACATGGAGGATGGGGAGAGCCCTTGAGGTGAAGGCCCTGAGCCCTGATTCCAACCTCTGCTCCCAGCGCACTGCTGCTGGCCACATGCTGCTGCCTGAACTTAGTTCAAGGCTCTCCATCACTTCCTTTGGGGACCTGGGCACCAAACTAAGAATCACTGGTTCACATTTCTCTCAACCATTAACAAAAGGGGGTAGAGATGGGGGCAATAGGGACAAGAATGCCACCTCCCGGGTGAGTGAAGATGAAATATATGACCACTCCTCACCCAGTGCTTGGCACACAGAGGTGGTCAACACGTTTCTTGAAATGTCACCTTAGGATGGAGTCCCAGGCCTCCCTGAATGCACCTGATCAGGAGAAATGCTCCTTAAGGGAAATCATCTTAACTGGGAGATTCTCAGATTCAAGGGCTTCTTCTTAAGCAGACAGGCACGTGAGGCCCAGGAGACTGGCTCTGCTACCAGAAGGAAGGATTTTTTCTTTCAACCAACCTTTTGGTTGCTACCATTTCTTGTCCTTGAGAAAGGTGCTCCTAGTGCTTGTGAAGGGAAATGCCATATCCGTGCAGTATTGCTCTCCCTTTTCACAGGAGCCATCCTCCAGCCCTACCCCAAACTGCAGGTTTCCAATTGGTTATGATGTGCCAGAGACCAGGAAATGCCAGAGGGATGTTTGTAACAAAGCTGCCAAAACTCTAAGCCTTCTTGTTCTACCCCCTAAGGAGAAAAAAGATGTGTAAGAAATTAGCCCATGGACCCCAGCTCCACCTGAACATCAAGATACCGTGGGGGCATTCCAGAGTCCCTGCAAAGGGTCTCGTGAGCTGCAGTTCATTGAGTGGCTTTAGGTCACGGGGAGAAAGGAGAGCTCCAGTTCCCTCTGAGAGGTGAGGGATTGTGGTTACAGGTTGTAACAGCTGTCACAGGAGGATGAAAAGTCTCCAGCATCTTGCTGAGGATGCCCAGGAGGCAGCAGCTGAGTGAGGATGGATGGAATGCAGGGGCAGGAGAGGAGCCCAAGTGCAAAGGCTGGGGCTCAGACAGCCAAGGGGCCCCACACACAGGGCCTCGTCTCAGAGTCCTCCAGGCTGCTGGATGACAAGCGCCGGCGCTGGGCATTCCGACTGACGGCATTGTCATCAGCCTGCCAGGCACCTGGGGAACAGAAAATGAACATTACAGGAGCCAGACCTTTGGCCAGATCCAGATGGTGTCTCCAGCAGGGCAGCCCAGGAGTCAGCACGGAAGGAACAGGATGCGTGTCACCTGAGACTCCGATGAGGGTGCGAGCCACAGCACTCGTGCGTGAGAACGGAGAGAAGCAGGTGCTGACAGGTGCAGAGGCTGCTCCTGCCCCCTGGGCTAGGTACAGTCACTGCCACTGTGGCTCCCAGACAGGGAGGGACATGAAAGATGTTCCTTGTTTTGTGAACTTACCCTGGGATCCACTTTCGTATTTTAATTACTTGGTTTTAAAGTTTGCCTATATGTTACGATAGACAGGAAAAGGAAATTGGGCCTCGCGGAGCTATTTTCATCGGGGCAGGAAGAGGTGGGGGGAAGTGAGAAGACTGTTCGTTCTGGCCCGAAGTGTTAATGTTTTCTGTGGGGGCCCCGGGGGGCAGGAAAGGACTGGCCACCCAGCAGGGTTTCTGGGATAGAAGGCTGCCCGGAGGGAGGACAGTGTGAGGCTCCAGCCCCCATCACCTGCCGTTTTCCTCTCCTCCTGCACCTACGCAGCTGTTGAGGTTTGCTACTAGCTGGTGCCATCAGCCCAGCAGACACCAGCCCGAGAGCCTCGGGGTCCCACAGATACCACCACTGAACGCATCCTCTCCCCAAATCTGCTGTTGTCCCCATGTGAGGAGCGCCAGTGCCCATCTGGAAACCCATTCTTGGTGCTTCTCTTTCGTGTTCTGGATCCAATCCTCCACAACCTCCTGTGGGCTCACTTCCTAGCGGTGTTGTGACTCCATCTGTAGTCACACTAACCTGGGCTCCACTCCCAGTTTACAATGGTGTGATCCGGGGCACATCAATTTACTGTGGGCCTTGGTTTTCTCATCCATCAGATGGGAGATGAGTACTGACCTCACAGGCTTGCTGTGAGGACTAGACGAGAGAATGCGAGTGTTGGTGAGTGACTCCTAGAACAGCCTGTGCTCAGGCTCTTCCAGGCCATCTCGCCTCTCCCCTGAGAGTCCTCTTCATCTCCCGCCCACAGATGAGCTCACTCCCTCCAGTGCCCTCCCTCCGGTGAGGCTAGAGCGCTCGCTCCTGCCTTGGGCCTTGGCTGCCTCCGCTCTCAGGGCCCCCTGGCTCCCTGGGGTAGGGAAGGCATGTTGTCCTCCGGACCTTGTGGGCCTCCCAAGCATGTCTCCCAGTGCCCTCCCCTCACAAGGCACCTCTGGCAGGCTAAGGCACAGTGTGCTCCTAAGTGCTCCCTGCAGCCTGAACTACTGCTCCACGCATGCCTCACATGGTGGAAAACGCTAGGTCCCGGAGCTCCTCCATGGGACGAAGCTCCTCCTGGGCAGGGGCTGTGACTTCTTCACTGTTGCAGTCCAGAGCCCAGCACAACTCCTGACCCACAGGAGGACCTGTTCAGTGGACGAGGCCGACCAACTGTAGAGTGTGGCCGTGAGGTTGAGAGAGACCACTCACAAGTGTCCAGGGTCAGCCTCAGGCCAGTCCAGGACATGAAACTCTTTAATGGCACGTGGAGTCAGCAGGTATAAATGGCTTATTTCCATCAATGCCTTGGTGTGCTAATCCACCTCAGACTCCAGTAACAGTCTCTGGTGCTTGACCCCAGGGGAACAGTGAGAACAGGAGAGTCTTGGATCTCTCTCACATCCAAACTGAATTTGGGATCTTTACTCCCTGGGGGTGGGTACTGGAGCCTGGGACATGAGTCAAGCTGTTTTTTTCACGTCTAATGGTGGCACTATGTGTCTAAGTGTGGCAGGATGAATGTAAGGCAATATTAATATTGCCTTTAAAGTGAGGAACCCAAAATAAAATGAGCTGTTTGTTCATTCATATAATTTGGTAGATCTCATACCTATTCCTCAATGTTTATGGGGCAGGACTCCGGAGCTGCGGCTGTTCAGTAGGAAAGACCAAAAGCAAACGGTAAACAAGAGAGAAGACACACATGCATGCACAAATAAAAACAGCAGCACCACCACCACCACCGCCACCACCAGCAAGCCACGGAACGCTGGGCCTGAGAGGCTGCCCAGAGAGCCGTCCTGACTCTGAATTCACAGGAGTCCTCGCTACAAACTCCACCCTTCTATTCTATAGAAGTCTTAGCCAGGGCAGAACATCGGTTACTTGTGGAAGACTCAAGAATCAGATCTGAAGTCTGCTCTCCTGGCCTCTTGGTAAGCTCTGTGGTGAGGGAGATTCGCCAGCAAGTGGGGGGGCCCTTCCCCTGGCAAGGACCCTGAGGGGCCCACGGCAAGGCCCTGCTGCTGCTCTCTCCTTAGCCTCGTTCCCACGGTGAGCCTGGCTGCGGAGAGTCAGTGTAGGTGCTGAGGGGCCTTCCAGAGCAGGTGCCACCATTTTGTCTGGCCTGGAGGCCCCTCCAGCCAAAAAATGGAGCGTAGAGATTTAAAATCCTTAGAGGGATATGGGTAACAGTGTTTTCCATTCACGTCTCATTTTTTGGGATATCAAAAATGGGAGTATAAAGAGACCTCTAGAGGTAGATTTTGGGAGTACATTTAGGAAAATTTCACAAGCCCCTTTCCTGCCTCTTATTAAATGTAAGGACTGTAATAGTTCAACTGTCTTTGTAGGGTTGCTCTCCAGGGGAAGGAGGAACTTAGTTTGAATTTTTCCTTAGTGCCCATAAAGTGCAAATAGCATCTTAGTCTTGGGTTTTGAGGTCTCTCAAAAAGAGGAGATAATTCAATTTCAGGTCTCCACAAACCTTTTTAGATTTCACTGGATATGCTCATTCCAGTGGAATGCAGTCATTTAAAAATTATATTTGTATTCCCACTAAAAAGACCCAAATTATCTTTGCCTTTGTTGTTTTTTTTTTTCCTCAAGATGGAGTCTCACTCCATCTCAGCCTCCCAGGCTGGAGTGCAGTGGTGTGATCTTGACTCACTGCAACCTCCGGTTCCCAGGCTCAGTCGATCCTCCCGCCTCAGCCTCTTGAGTAGCTGGGACCTGGCTAATTTTTGTATTTTCTGTAGAGATGGGGTTTCACTGCATTGCCCAGGCTGGTCTCCAGCTCCTGGGCTCAAGTGATCACTCGCCTCGGCCTCTCAAAGTGCTGGGATTACAGGCGTGAGCCACTGCGCCCGGCCTATCTTTGCCTTTTTCCATCACTGACTACCCCAGGGCCTTCATAGAACTGTCACTTGCCATGATGACTATCCTGCCACCTGTGTAACAGTCCACCAAACTCCCTGGAGCCATATCTGCTTAGCATGGTCTCACAATTCTAGTCTTACTACCACCTGCCACACCCGTCAACTGAGATCTCCTTCCTTTATTCCTTTCAGAAGCAATCTCAGAACACACCACTCCCCAAAATCCACCCTTGGTCTTGGGGCTCAGGAAAACCCAGAAGTTTCTTAGGGGGAGCGGGGCTGGAATGACAAAAGTGCCTCTAAGCCCCTCACCAGTGTGACCAGAGTGGTGAGGATAGGAACCAACAAGGTTCTCAGTTCTTGCCACCAGCCAGGTCTCCTGGCAGAGCCTGTGAGCATGGCGCAGGGCACAGGGAGAGCATGGGAGGCACCCTGGGTTCCATTTCCCACTGGCCCTCTGTGAAGGGAGTGGCACCCGCTTGAAGAGGGAAACAGACTCAAGCAGAGACCAGGCGCATGTGCAGCTGTCCTGATGGGGAGAGAGCTGGCTGCAGGAACAGTGATGAGCTAAGACAGCCAGTGGTATCTCAGCCCTAAGATAGAAAACTGAACTCACAGCTGAGTGTGAAGAGGCTTATTTACTCCATGAGACCTACCAAAGTGGATATTCCTGTCTGTAACCTAGCAGACACTTCCAGAGAGTTCTCCAGCAAATCTGCTACCAGTGGAACCAGAGACACATTTTGCCTAGAGAGATGTGCTTTTCCCTCTCAAGTAAAAAGGGAACCAGAGGTTTTGAGACATCACTTTCACCCAGCTACTGACCGAGGATGCCAATTAAAAACAAATCATGGCCAGGCACAGTGGCTCACACCTGTAATCTCAGCACTTTGGGAGGCCAAGGTGGGCGGATCACCTGAGGTCAGAAGTTCGAGACCACCCTGACCAACATGGTGAAACCCCATCTCTACTAAAAATACAAAAATTAGCTGGGCATGGTGGCAGGCGCCTGTAGTCCCAGCTACTCAGGAGGCTGAGGCAGGCGAATCACTTGAACCCAGGAGGCGGAGGTTGCAGTGAGCCGAGATCGTGCCACTACACTCCAGGCTGGGTGACAGAGCGAGACT